TGCAACACTTAAGGATAAATGTTTTTTTAAACATTTTAAAATGTCAAGGCATGTCAGACTACCCCGAAAGGGGCTGAGAGGCCTCAGACTCCTGAGAGTTAAAAAGCAGTCAATGTGAGGCTGGGGACCTTTCAACTCACCCCATCTTCGAAGGCCCAGCGCTTACTGACTTCGTGCTCATTGTGATTGAACACTTCCTGGCGGGACTCCATCACCCTGTGTCGCATGTTCTCAATCTCTGTGACCAACTGAAAGAATTCACCCAGAAACAGTCAAATCAAATACCCGCCTCTCAAACCTTTCATCAGTCAAATCAAATACCCGCCTCTGAAACCTTTCAAGCCCAGAGGCATGAGCACCGACAAGCAAAAACCAGGATGTACCTTGGCAGGGTCAGCAAGGTCCTCGTTGCCAGGCGGAAGCTCGATATCTTCAGGTGGTGCCTCTCCTTCGCCGTGCCCATTCGTCGCAGCCAGTTCCTTTCTCAAGCGCACGAACTCCTCCAGAGGCAGGAAATGCTTGGGCAGGTTGTTCTGGACGTGATCTCGGAACCTACGGCACAGTACGCGTCCACATCAAATGGCTGCAACCAAACGCGGTGCCGTCGAGAACCCATCAGAAGTACTGTAAGGCAGATTTCCCGAAACCTGAGGTGGAGATCAATGACCGATGTTCGCATTCAGAAACAAGGTGGGTTGTGGCTCTCCAGTTCCAGGCTTGGGTCTTCCTCACCAAGTGGCCCTTTACTTGCACTTGGACCCAATGTAGGGCATGTACGTCAGGGATGCTGAAGGGATTAAAGGTAGCTTTGCACACTCCTTCAAAGAGGCAAGTAAAGCAAAGGCTCGAGAAGTTTGTGCAGGCCTGCCAGACGCCGGCTGCTTCACCTCTGGAAGTGGTGGCTGTAGAGCTGCGTCGGGATGCCCAGGACTCGGTCGTAGACAGCGGTGACGTTGGCCAGGTTCCCCAACTCCGTCTCCCAGTTGATGTAGGCCTCCCAGAGGCGGTCGGAACGAAAGTCGGTGCCTGCAGCCAATACCGCATGCTCGTACGCACTGATGGATGGAGAACACCAAGTAAGTGACACCTCAAAATCAGCATTCAGCACAAATCTTAGTTTCTTTAACACACAGGTCTTAACTACTCTTGCGCAGAAAGCCCATAAATTTACAGAGGAATGAATTAACCCCTCAGTTAAGGAGCATAAGATGAGAAAGAACTGCGACTGATCAAACTGTATTCAAGAAGTCATCTACGTTAAAACAGAGCGAGTGGCGCTACTCACGATCGTATCGTCGCCTCTGCCTGAGGGTCGTTTGGTTCGGCCGTCTCCCTCAGGAAGTTGATATAGTGCAACCACAAGTCCACACTGAGGGGGATGGCCTGGAGGCCCTGACGGTAAACCTGAAGCAAGAAGTGCGAGTCTGTAAGAGGTCACGATTGCCACCCAAACCTCCAGTGGACAGCCAACACTGGACTTATGTGCCATGCAACCTTGACTGATAAGTGAGATGTTACGCAACTGCAAACAAATTCAGGCTGAAAAGGCATAACCATTTACTGGGCTGGATAAAGCAGGGTTCAGGTGTCCAACAGGTGCAGCAAGGTGTGCTAGTTTCTAAGATTTCAGGGTCCTGCCTTCAAACCAGGCTGAGGATTATGCTTTATTTGGTGGCACAGACTTTGCAGTACAGAACCATTGTAGCAACTCTTCCAGTGCCTGACCAAATACACAGCAGACCACTGCAAAGTGTGCAAGGAAAAAACACTTGCACACCACCATGCAAAAAATGTGCTGATAAAGGAGGGTGTAAGCAAAAGGATTTTACAGCGGTAAGTTAGACAAGAAAAACCCCATCAAAGATGATCTAGATATAACTACTGGGCTGTCTAAGATTCATAAACTAATTCCAGGAAACCAGACAGATAAGCAGAGATGACTGTCACCTACAAAATAACACCGAAATTTCCAAAGCATTTCACAAAGTCTATTGAATGTTAAATGCGAGATGTCTCAAATATTTGATGATTCATTTGGTTTTGAGGCCAACCGACAAATAAAAAACGAACCTACATATAAAATGTAAAAATGATCAAGTATAAAGCAGCAACACATTGCAGGCACCACATGACAGCAGTTTTTTAGTCTTATGTTAAACAGACTTAAGCTTTCTTTCAGCGAATGACAGCTGCGATTGGCCAATTCATCAAGCTGTTCAAGGGGACTGTTAGAAGATGGGTACCCTCCCCCAAAACCTCTATTTACCTCCTCTGCAGTCTTTACATTTCCAGCTTTCTTCTCAAGATCAGCATACTTTTTCCAGTAGCCATAGCAGTACGGGTAGCGGGCAAAGAAGGAGTCGAAAGCCATCCGAGCAGCTCCAACATGATTCTGAAAGATCACAAGTATAAAATTGTCTGTCGAGCATATAGAGCATGTATGGCATTTGTTGTGTTCAGGATGAACTCTCACCTCTTGCTCCACGTACTGCAGCAGGTAAGTCCAACCTGTGAAGTCTTCAGGGTTTTCTTCCACTACTTTTGAGTATTTCTCAAACTCTGCAGGAAACGGCACCTCGGCACTGGACAGCTCTGCCTCCGCTTCCCCGGCATCCTTCGACGTGTCCTCCAGCTCCATGTTGGTTGGACTGCCCTGTTCAGATGACTCTGGCTGCTGGGGCAACTCCTGTGGTACAGACTCTGACTGTTCAGCCAACGGTGTAGCAGATGGATCCTGTTCTGTTGGGGCTGGTGGCAAATCACCCACTGATTCAGAAATGTTGTCCGAGGAAGGCCCAACATTCTGGGTGGGGTCCTGTCCTTGGGCTGAAATAGGGGGGGTTGCAAGCTGGCAGCCATTCCCTGCAACTTCTGTGCCTGTCAGGGTGCAGCCCCCAACAGGATCAGACTCAAGCATACCAGTCATGGGCTCTTCTGTATAGGACTGATCTGTTGGACAGAGGGGTGGGGGGGAAACAAGGTTATTCTATATTGTCACTCTCAGACACCACAGCTAGTAACAGTTATCTAATGGTGTTAATAAATTAACTGAAACGGGAACAAACTGATCAGAAAAACATGTACACGTTTGCCTGTAAATCCACCTGATTACAGTTGCAAAGCCACTTCGGCTTGCGACATCCACCAATGAGTCAGCTTTTAAAGTATCAACAGTAATCGTGATGTAAACCTAAGCATTTAAAACACGTTCACACCTTACGCCCTATTAGCTTACTCTGCGGCAACGGTAAAATAAATCCAAAAGGACTTAAACGGGGTTAAAAACAACAGGACTACATCACTAGCCTAGCTGTACGGTAACTACGTTTCTACCTACGATTCTCGAACGCAGAGAAAGCAAAGTACAGAAGAAAGCTACGCAATGTGAAAAATGCGCAGCACGACTGCCTGCTAGCGTCCGATGGGTTTATTTTGGTTAGTTAGCAATTAGCCTGTGGCCCTTCGCCCAGTTACTGGAACCAGACTACAGCGCTACATACTGGATTACTGACATTGTAAGACCATCGCACCAATTAGTGGACTAGCGCTCTCATAGATTATAGGTCGGTTATAAAACATGAAAAACCAAGAGACAGGGCAAGCAGGTCAACATACCTGCAGCTTATACATTCCCTAGTTCCTGTAACTTTGCTTATTATCAAAATACTATTACCAATAAAACTAAACTGATTTACAAAAGAAATCGCTACATGGATATGCTGTTTTTATTGGGGTCGTTTTAGCACCTACGCTCCTTACGACCGCATAGATAAGGAAGTTGGCTAGCCAGCTAGCTAGCGCTCTGTTCAGCAAGCGATAAATTACTCGGGTGGTTGACACAAAACTCACCCATGTCATAAAAAATGTCCTAAAAAACTTTTCAGTAGAATTATTTAAATACATATCATTTACGGGATGGTTCCAAAACCGAGGTACATCTTAAAATATTTAAGCGCTTAGCGAGCTGCGCTTGAAGCCTGGGCCTACCCACGCCATTCGCACACAACCTTCACACCGCGCGCGATATCTACTACCTAGTTTCTACATTTGTGCATTTTCAATCAGCCTAGCCAAAATACAGAAGTAATAAACAGATCATAACACTTCCCCAGAAATACAACTCACCAAATTCGTCCATTAAAATCTGTTTTGAACGCAATATGCTTCGTTTTTCCCCTCACTATCAGCAAAGCACGAAGCCGCGTTTTCTACAGCTCATTCTTCAACTGCGCGTTCGCCTATTTGACTGACGTTGCTGACGGGCATGCGCATTACTGGCGGGAGCGCGTACTCCGAGGGCGGGACTGGTTATTCTGGTCACTAAGGGGAAGTTGTGAGTTTATTGCAATCATAGCTTTGAATTTTAATGGTATTTTGAGGCTACGGGTTTACCCTTAAACCACCCAAATGTCCCTATTTATTCAGAAGCATGTAGCACAGTATAAAAACCGTAATTTCATTCATGACGCCATCTGTAAAAGCCGATGTTATACAAGCTTGCAACCCAATCAGTTTTGGCATAATCATCCCATCCGTCTTCTTAACGAGGGGCCGCATAGGGCTGGAAGGAATGCAGTTTTAAAGATGCCAGTTTTAGAGATGCCTGTGGTAGCTAATGTCATAGATTTCAAGAAGCACTCTCACCTCTGTTGAAACGAAGCAATGAGTTGATATTTTGTAATCGAAAAGCAGCATGAAGTGTACTAAATACCAGTGTTTCGGCTCATTTCATATGCGTTTAAAGCTTCTAAGATTTGATCAAAGAAATATTTCTAATTGCTATAATATTAGCAGCAAAAAGAGCGCAGCTATATCTTAAAATATTAATTCAACAGAAAATGCGGAAAAATGTATATGATGGTTCAGATGTTTTAACTATTCAACACAATCCTACTATACTTTTGTTTATTTACCACTGTCATAAGAACACGACATGATGGGCGCAATTATTTAGATAAATAAAACAATTTATTTATATACAGTTTATATATATATATATATATATATATAATTTCTCTCAATTTTTCAGAAACAGGTACAGTACAATTTAGCTGTGGAAAATGTGAAAGGCTACGTTGGGACTGGCACGATTTGGAATTGCAAAATCACAGGACTGGGTGTAAGTACATGTATAAATTGGTAAATTAAATCAAAAATATAACACATTAACATCTCTCTAACCTTAGTAAAATTGTTTTACGTCCGACATTTCATTCAGGCATCTTTGTACAATAGTATATCAATAACAAAATATTAACATCCATTTTGTTCCCTGTCATTGAATTTTGGTCATGCAGAAACCATAAGACAGTTCCAACTTGGAAAACTTCTTTGTTGATGGACTTTACAGCAAATTTCAAAGATATACTGCAATATTACAGCATAAAAAATAAGGGAATACTGTGCAATTACAGACCTGAACTGTTACAAAAGCCATTTGTTTTCATTAAAAATCCTAACAAATCAGAACAGCCCAGTAAGACACATCATGGAAATGTCACATACGGCATAATATTTTAAAAATAGCAAAACTATACATCCCTTCAAGTGTTTTGTGCATTTAAAAATAGTACATTCCACAGCATTTCAGTCCATGTTCATTGAGTTCACAAGCTACAACAATGACAAGTACATCAGTGACACAACCGATGATGATAGCCCGTCACAATAGTGTACCATTTGTTCAAAAGTGCAAAAGAGCAGGTTGTTTGAGGGCAAGAATCCTGATACCAAGAGCTCAAGAACATTTTCATTAAATAAAAAGTTCTTATAATGTATTCTACTCTATAGAACTTACCACTATTAGTAAGGGCTAATTAAAATCTATCTAAAAATAATTTTTAAAAAGTGCATGAACTAATACATCTATCTGAAACTACATCTATATAAATCTAATTTCAAGTAAGCTATACGTTTAGTCTTTTTTAATGCTGTCAGTGGGAGGAGATGGACTTGAGCAGTCTGTTGAAGCTCTTGTAGACATTGGGGTGCTGAGATGAGGCACACTCTGCCAAACTGGGTCCCATGTGGCTGTGCAGGGCTTGGCACAGGACGGCAGTGGCCGCAGACACACTACCGCCCCGGGCCAGTAGGGATGCTCCTTTGCTGGAAGTGCCTAGGAGGTACCACAGGAGGGGTAGTGCTTTCTGCTCCACCACCTGGGGCTTGCGGGGGTACAGCTCATACACAAGGTCTGTAAGACACAGCAGGGTGCAGCAAGAGGTCAGTCACTGGCACATGGCTACTGAGAAATATACTGAGAACCAATCCCTGTCTTAGAGTGAGCTGTAACGGACATACCTGCAACCTTTATGATAAGGTCGACTTTGGCTTTGCCACCAAGGAACTGAGCTTTGGTGCAGAACGGCTGAAGCAGAAGAGTGTTATCTGAAATTAAGAAGAAAGAGTTCAAGTATTTGCCTCTTCTGATATTTGGGAATATTTTCCATGGCACCTGCAATAACATTGAGAGTCTTACCTATGTTTTCCATAAGAGCATGGATGACACCAATAGCTGCGCTGTAGATGGCATTGTTCTTCGAGTTGAGGTGATTGTCTACAATGGCAGGAACTAGTAAGGAGACCACCTGAGCCAGGTGGTCTTTCAGGGGGGAAATGATCTTCTGTAAGCATTGTAGGGCACTGAGATTGACTTTGCTGTTGGATTCCTGGAGCCTGGCTTTGATGGCATCAAACACCTGTGAAGAGATGGCAGAGGGTACAATTTGTGAAATTCCTCAACAAGGTAATAGCAACAACACAAGACAGTTATGAATACTGGAGCTCTTAACAATCTGCTATTAATTACCGGGAATAAGTTGACGATGACCATGTCGGGGTTCTGCTCACAGTCAGACACTAGCTGCTCCAGAGCCCTGATACGCTCACGGAAGTCCTTTGACAACATCAGGGCATTGAGCTTCTTGATGTACTCTGTCTTGTCTGCAAAGTTATTCGCCTGGCCTTTGCAGTAGTATCCATCAGGATCCCTATGCAAACAGAAAAAGATAGAACTGATGTCAGGAAGGCGGGGTTTGTGTGGAGTTTTGAATGGTAACCAAATTGTGACATTTTGCATATTTTATTTGATTTGAAGATAAAACATACTGCTTGAGGCTGGAGGGCTCCCGGCTGAGAGACAAAGTGCGGGTTGTGCCACCGTTGAGTGAATGACGCCGCGTCACTGATCGGGCTTTCGGAGATGCCCCTCCCATTTCCTGATAAAAACAGTGAGCCATATGATTACCCACAATGCACCATTTACACAAATTTCATAGTCGACACACACCTTCCAGTTCCTGCAGAGCTGACAGCCCACAAATGTTTTGCCTGTACACTCCCTGTACACAAACACCAGGCACACTCAAAAGAAATGAAATTCACTGTTTTTGTATTTAGTTATACATTTTTCACTGATGTTACACAACACAGGTTAAACCAAGTTAAACTCAGTCAGTTGTCCATTTTCAGTTAAAGTTTATCTGATTTACTTGAGAAATGTTTTGTCAATGAGAAAGAGTAAAGTAAAATACATTTTCCCATAAACACAATGTACATTGTACCTTTATACATGCTGCACGTATGGAGTATGTTTTCATGTGCTTGGCACAACAACAACCATATGGTCAAATCTGATCACCATGTATTATCATTTCCCATGCCACAAAATACAGGTAAGAAGTCAAATATGTTATTATATCTATGCAAGTTTTGGATCATATTAAGTAGTTACATATTGGGAAATCTACAGTGATTTTGCTGATATGTTTGTAGCCCTCCTCATGACCTACAGAGGAAAATTTTATATATATATAATTTTGATATATAATTCAGAAGCACAATCACAGCCTGTCTTTTTCTGTACTTCAACCTTGATGAATGGCATCGATCAATTTCAGCTTGCTGGCTATCATGTTGGTATATTGTCAGAAAAAATGGGTGTTAGAGCAAAAACTGGGCCACCATTTGGAACTGGTGATGCACGGTTCCACTGATTCCAAAATGTGTGTGGCAATTGGATGAGTACACCAGTAAACTGTCCAGAGTGCTCCAGAAAAAAGGAAGGAGTAGCAGCATGAAAAATCAGAGAGATAATGGCTGTCATACACCAGGTTTCTGAGTCATTTTCTTGAATGTTTGTGCATTCTTTTTTTCCTTCTAGGTTGATATCACTGAATCAAGGATAGCTTTCCAGCTCAATGCCCTTGCTGGGTATCTAAATGAAGACCATGAGAAGCTCATAATAGAATAGAAAGGGGCTCCTCTGTCCTTTTTAAAAAAAATCTGTTGTAGCGCAAAATCAAATGTAGCTAGGGAACATGCTCTTAATTTCATTACAATTTGCATATGTGAATAGTAAAAAACAAAATAAACTTAACAAATCCCAGAGGCTCAGTCTGTTTACAAAGGGTTTTGGCTGACTGTCATACTGCTTAGCTCAGGGGTAGGCTTTGTCTGCCCTTAGTTTTGTTATCCCTTCTTTACTCGGTTCCATTTAGGCCTCTTCTGTTACACATTTCATTTCAGAGCCATACCATGCATGAAAACAGTTAGAATCCTTTGCTGTTAACTGGATTTTCACAATAACCCATAAGGTGTGGCCTGATCTTCATCTAAGTCATAATAATAGGCAATCTGCAATAGGCAAAGTACTTAATTACTTATCCAAAAGGAAGAATCTGCTGGTCTGTTGTAATATTATTGTTGTACGCATGCATCAACCATGACAGTATGCTTACACAGATAAATGATGTATGATCACAAAAGTCCATCCATTCAAACATTCACAGACTGTAATGGCACGCAAACAAGTGAGGTACGAACTATGCTTTATGGATTAAGCGTCTTTAAAGTTATTTGAAACAGTTGCATGAAACTACTTGACAACATTTTTACGTAAATGTTTTTTTTGAGTGCGACTGAAGACCAACCAATTTACCTTCTTCCTCAACGACAGCACCGTGTTCTTGACAGTGACAACCTCCTTGTCTGGAATGTGCCGCTCCAATAGCTTATCGAAGTCTTTGTGAGATGCCAGAAACAGCAGCATTTGACGGCCAAAGTGTCTGACGAACAGGAAACCAATCAATGGCTGTTACTGATAAGTGGTTGCTGATACTTGATTGCTATCAATGGCTGTTGCTGATTAGTGATAACGGCCATTAACAATGTAATTAGGGCTGGGCAATATGCTATAAAAATTATATAGAAATATTTTCAGACATAATTCATAATTTCGATATTTATCAAAACATTCTAAAATTCATATATATAAAAGAGTAAAATATAACGGGTGGTTTGACGACCAAAATGTTTTACTAACAGTTCTGAAACATGTGACAGGTATAATGACAAATTACACCAACAACAGACTCATAACTTGACGGAACTTCTGTAAAAATAGTGCATTATAAATTGTTAATTATGAAAGAAAACGTCTGTTGAGGTTATATCGCAATACTCACGATATTCAAATTTACGGCAATATGAGTGTTCATAATCACAGTACGGAATTTTATCACTGTATCACCCAGCCTTAAGTGTAATATCATCTAAGGTTATACTAGTCCTCCATACCTGGTTTCCTGTGAAGAATCATGCGCCAATTTGGCAACAGCGGGCAGGATACGGTCCGTCAGCTCTCGACTGCTGGAGAGCAGGCGCTCCACACCCATGACTTCCACAAGGTCAGCGAGGTGCTGAGCCGTGCTCTTCCTAACCATTGTGTTCAAGTGACTGCACATTGGAAATGAGGTTGGAAATCAAGCAATTAGCTCTGAGTGGCTTCAATATAAATATGAGAAAAAAACACTAAAAGGTCCGTTAGAGCTGAAAAGGCTATATCTAACTCTTACAGCCAGCTCAGGTGTACAACACTTGCAAAGGTGCGGTTCAGTACGACGCATTTGTCTGGTCTACTTACTTCAGTCCTCCAGCAAGCAGGGCGTTCATGACCCGGACGGGTGTGCAGTTCTGCACCATACTAGCCAGGGCCATGTCCACGTCCTGCCTCAAGAAAGCATTGGTCTCCCCAGATTTGTGCAGCAACACCTTGACCGTGTAGTCAAGCTCTGGGTCCATCTCTCTCCTCATGTGGGTGAAGAGTTCTCCCAATGTCGCCACTGCCACGCGGGAGACCCCTGATCGCAAGTTCTTCACCTGGAGGTCAGCACATACACAGACCAAACACTGGCTGCAGATGCAACTAGAGAGGTGACTGAGACCTAATAAGATAATATATCCAAGCTGCTAATTTCAGATAATAGAATTAAAAGGCCGTAATACCTCGTCAATCACCACAAGGCAGGTATCGTGAAGTCTGTCAGACATCAATTCAGTATGGAACTGCGCCAGGCGGCGTACAAGTTCCAGACCCTCTATCTTCTTCTCCCTGAGATTCAGTGAAAGCAGGATTCAGGAACACAACTAGATACTGTATTTGACATTTCTCAAAAACAACAATGGACTGTATTCTCAAATCTGATGTGTAACTAAAGCAGTTTATGGAAACAGGTACCCACCAGTCCTCAGAGCTGAGAAGACTGAGGCTGTCTGTCAGGGCTTGCTCAGGCCTGGGGATGGGTTGTAGGTTTTGCTTCCCTGGAGATAGATCATCTGGGGACCACCAGAAGGACAGCATGTAAGGCGGAGCCTCTATTATTATATCCACATTTCAAATGTGATGTAAAAATGGTCTGAACCTGAACTATGGGAGAAAGTTGACTGGGTCTTGAGGCTGAATGCCTTCCTAAGACGGGTTGGTCTGCTGGTCTTGGGTTTGTGTGACTGTATTGGAGGACTGGGCTGGATGGGCAGGACCGGCTGATGAGCAGGGCTGTCATTGGTCAGGCTGGGCCTGTTGGGTGGACGAGGACGGAATGGTGGATGGGGCTTCAGGGGAGGACTTGACTGGCAGGCTGGGCTGTATGGGGTGGCTGGCAAACTCTCTGAGGGGGACTCTGCCTTGGCCTTCACTGCAGTGTTCCCATTCTGTTGCCACTCTGCAGGGAGATAATCACAAAAGTTACATTTAAAGAAAATTTAAGTAGATGCTGTCAGAACAACAACAACAATGTATTCACCAGCAGGCTCCATCATCCCACCTCCCCATCTAATCCCTACTCGTCCCACATGCCCAACAGTTCGTAGCTTCCCTATACACTCTCTCCATCTCTCCAAAAAATATTTTAGACCAACTTTGTGTGACTTGTCTCACAATCTGCACCTATGGCAGTTTGTTCACTGACACCGTTTCAATCTTGGTGTGATTTGTTTCAAAATGGAATATGCGCCAGATCATCAGCTATACAATGTTCCTGGGAAGTTTTAAAAAGATCCATGAAATACTTTTAGAGTTACTGTGCTTACAAGGTCAAGCATCTTCTGCAGCCGCCCTTTCCTTCCTTTGCTGGCACCTAGCCCTGCTACTTCAATTTTAGTGTGATTTGGTTCGAAATAAATTCACACATAGACCTTTATCCATATAATGTTCTCCCCAGCCACCTCCTCCAGCTCCACCAGGCGAATACCAAGGCGTTCCCAGGCCAGCTGAGAGATGTAATCTCTCCAGCGTGTCCTGGGTCTGCCCCTGGGCCTCCTCCAAGTTGGATGTGCCCAAAACACCTTTCCAGTGAGGTGCCCAGGAGACATCCTTAATAGGTGCCTGAACCACCTCAGTTAGTTGCTTTCAATGCAGAGGAGCAACGGCTCTACTTTGATCTCCTCCTGCGAAGGAAACAAATTTCTTCCGCTTATATCTACAATCTCATTCTTTTGGTCACTACCCAAAGCTCATGACCATAGGTCAGGGTAGGAACGTAGATCGACTGGTAAACTGAAAGTTTTGCTTTCTGGCTCAGCTCCCTCTTTACCATGACTGAACAGTACAGCCTCTACATTACTGGGAATACTGCACCAATCCACCGGTCGATCTCCCACTCCCTTTTTCCCTCACTCGTGAAAAAGACCCTGAGATATTTAAACTCTTCCACTTGAGTCATAATGATGTTTATAATGTTTTTCTGAAGTGGAAATAAGATCCAAATACTTGAGTTATCACAATCACAAGGTCAAGTGTTTTCTGCAATCACCCTTCTTTCTGCTGCCACTAAGCAGCATTACTTCAGTGTTGGTGCAATTTGTCTCAAAATTTGATCCCTTGCAGATCTTCACCAATACAACACTTCTGAAAAAGCTTGTTAAAAATCTGTCTAAAACTGTTTGCACTAAAGAGATCTAGTGTCTGACACAGCCCTTCCCTTTGCTATCACTATGCAACAAGGCTGTAACAGTACACATATTCATTGCGTGCCCTTCAGTTACACCATTTTCAGTCTGTATGCACAATGAAACAAATGTACTGCTTGAAAGAGGCAGAACCTAAATTCACAGATACATAGATGTTCAACATAGAAACATTATGCTAATTATGGTTGTGAGTTGGTTGCAGCTAATGCTGGTTGCAGTTAGTCATAATTGGCAGTTTGGGAACACCAGCACGGAGGGAGAGTAGCTAAAAAGACCAAGAAGGTCTGTCAGCTGCTATACTAAACTTGTCTAGGCTGCTGGAAACACATCCAGCTCATTTGAGAAAACATTCATCTGAGTGTGCGAGCAACCAGAGTAAGACAGAAACCACCTTTGCAAGAAGCCACCCCATAGCATTTGAGGCACTTTAACCAGGCAAAAAAAAAAGGCTATAGGGATATTTATTGCTACAAATATACCACCAGACTTGGTGGTAGTGAACAAGGGATTTAGACCAGATTTAGTGCATTATGATTATGATGGCCGTATTATTGTTGAATCTTTATTTTATGTCATTATTTCTACAATGTGCAAATCTTTTGGTTCTGTTATTCAGACATGTCGATAGACACATTGCCATTGGTTTACAACTGTTCCTGTCTTTGTGCTTACAGTTTTAATAATTAATTTCAGGAGAAATTCTATTTTCCCTGCTGTACCGAAATCGCACCAAATCATGATCCCAAAACAGGTTTGTACCGAACCGTCAGTGTACCATTACACATTTACTATGCAGTGCTAACACTGTTCTATATAGCGGTATCAGTATCGTATCGCAATACTAGAAATTTTAAATTAGAATCTATCATTTTGCAAATTGTGATATCTATAAAAATGTGCTATACATCTCTACTGCGTGTTAAGAACACTAAGAAGTTAGTTACGTCATGTTATCTCACATGCCTCTTGTGCGGAAAAGCTACACTGATGGGAGATGGAAACCACTGTTGCCCATTGCTTGCCTCTAATTGATAAGGAGGGCGGCAGAAGTGAGATATGGCATTAATTTTCTGAATGAAAAGGCTGAACCAACAAAGTTGACAGCCCCAGAATGCAAACGCTGCTAAAGGGCAACACGTCACTCACCCTGATTTAAATAAGGAGTTTAAATATCATCATGTGTGCATGAAAACAGATAGAAGATACAATAGTGATGTTAGCAGTTATCACGTTTTGCGTTGCTGTTTAAAGTCATGTTTAGCCATCACACAAGTTCATTCATATCTCTTTCCCCAGTGATGAAAGTAGGCTACGGTAAACAAGAACCTTGGATGATGTTTTGTAATAGCTGAGAGCAAATTAATATCAGAATCTATGCACTGAACGGAGATTAATCTAAGGATATTTCACTAACAATGTGAAAACTATATTAAAGATATTACTGCAGAATTAATTCATAAACAGGCCTGTTTAATTTCAAAGCAATATAACATTTAAATGGGAATGTTTTACAGTATCGAGTTGGTGTTGATACTGAGGTACCAGAGCTGGTACTGGTATCAAAGTCAAAATTTTGCTATCGATCCAACACTAAACAGTGCTGCTTTTGGGGTGACTTGTCTCAGCTGCAGACCTTCACCAAGAAAATGTATCTGCAAAGTTTGAAAAAGTCCCATCAAATACCTTTTGGGTTATCACACTAATGAGAAAGTGTTTGCAGTTGTCCTGAAACCATACATATTCACTGTCTGAGGAATACAATTACAGCCACCATCCTCTAGCATTTATAATTGAGCAGGGAATATTATTTTTGTTTTTCTCAGCACTCCAATCCTGAATCCCTGACCTCTTATCTCCTCTGGGTTGAATTCTGCCGGCATCTGGTGCAGTAGCTTCTGAATCTGACGGTACTCCATCCCCATCTGCAGGAACTCCTGCTCCTTCTGACTCAGCAGAAACATGTCATCAGCAGAGCTGGACAGTATCATCTTCTCCTAAGTGGCAAAAGGTCACATGATCACAGGAGCCTGTTCGCTAGGTATTAAGGGAAATCATCTAAGACTGCCAGCTCACCATCTTTTGGCTGTTGGGATACTCGCAGGCATCATGGGGGTTTCTCTGAGCTTCATTACGAGACTTCCGCCTGCTGTTGCCACAATCTAAGGAAACACCCTGGGGGCTTGAAAGGGGAGTGCAGGAGACTCCTGCCAAGAAAGAAGGGCAACATTTAAGAAAACTAAATGAAAGAACCAAGCCCAGACAGGCAACGTCAGCAGAAATCAAGCCAATGATATATCAGGAAGTCAGTGTCCTGTTACTATGCCAAGCAGAATGAATTAAGTTACGATGATTCATGGGGCAGGAAACTATCTCACCATACACCAGGGCTGCACGATATAAGATATCACGATAGAGTCCCAATGTGTGCGCATGCGCAATGGTCACCAGGGTTCTAGATAACAGGCCAACAGTTTGTCCGGACGGCAGCTTTTCTGCACTATACGGGCATTTACGTACACCCATAATTTGATAAACAGATTAGTCGCATGCCTAAAATATTAACAAGAGGCATATTAGGATGCCCAAAAGTTAGTAATCTATGTAATTTCAGTGTATCCTTGTGTTTGGTTAAATTTGGTTAGCGGAGCAGACCACCTACTGCTGCTTTGGTACATCATGGAAGTGATAAGCACTGAAATGGTGGGCAAGAAAGGGACAGATCAGCAGCCACAACATCTTATAAAAGACGAGATATTGTGGATAAACAAGTTAAAAAGACACTGGTGGTGTGGTGGTACTTTTTGCAGTTCAAGTCTATCATGTTTAATTAAACATAAGGATACGCCAAACTTTGGGTATCACTCATTTCACCACTAATCTGTCAATGCCGTTATCCAAAGCCCTGGAATCACACTGCATTTGTCAGTACTGACTTGCGTCACATGACAACTCACACCACCACCACCAACTTATTTGACACACTTGTAGTGATCTTATCCGTTCTGTTTGGCTATAGTTTATTTTGGGCAAATTTCATCTCCTCTTCTGTTTTACAGTCAGCACAATATTAATGGAAATATTTAAAATAATCACAATGTGATGTTGTGCAGCCCTACCCTGCACATAAAAGAAGACAGGATTGTGGGCGGGATGGGAGGTCTGACCTTTGCCTATAATGCCATCTGACAAGTCACTGGTAGGCGAGACCCGTCTGCTGTTGGGCAGGGACGCTGCAAAGGGGCATAGGAGCACTTTATTCTAGACGATGGCTAGCATCAGCTTCCACAATGCCCAGCAGGTGGGTATAAGCATTATTTAGAGTTATTATGCCATAGTTTCAGAGCTCACCTCCCGTGGGTCTAACCGCCTTCACTGGCGCTCTGCCGCGAGGTCTGCAAGAGGACGGAGACGCCTCCCACCGCAGATCCATCTCAGGCTCAGGGGAGCCACTGGAGTAAACGAGACGCTGACCAACCACATTCACGGCATGTGACCCTGCGGACAACACACACGGCTCTCAGCACACCTCACAACATCCACAACAGGCGGAGGAGTGACTGCGACGCACTTCACGGGGACCCGTACCCTGCAGGGGGGCGCGCTCCCTGGAGGACGCAGCCCTCGTCTTGGTGGGGGCCCGTGCAGCGCGTGGTTTGGGTTTCACGACAGATGAGGAACTGCTCCCTGAGCTGCGGGAACACCAGAGGCATTGGACCAAGCGGCCACATCTCCAACTGGACACTTTGTCTGTCCATCTGATGCCATCCACCACAAGAGGGCAGTTGAGATCTTCACATTAGGCTAGAGCGTGCCAGTTCTGGCCTTCATTTTCCAATCACCCACAAGTCAACCTGATCATTCACAGCTCAGATGGCCTTTAAGTGAGGGCCGCACCTGGTCTTGGATCCCTTGTTGGTAGAGGCTGGGGGTGAGTACAAGCTGGAGAGGCCGCTCTCACTCAGCGGGCTGGTGAGGGGGGGCGAGGTGCGTGATGGCGATTCTGGCCCCAGCTCCAGCTTGACCGCAGAGTCTGGGCTGTCTGGGTCCTGCTCTTGGTCGGGGTCCGAGCCGTTCAGACTCATCTTGGCACGCTTCTTGGCCGCGCTGAAGCGCAGGCACCGCAGAGATTTCATAATCTGGATAAGCATGCGAGCGCAGATGCGTCAGAAGATCGCAACCCTGATGGAATTTACCAGAAATCTAACCTGCACTATAGAGTCGTAATGAGATGCACACCTCTTCGCGATCCACTATCTCTTCCTCCTCCTCCTCCTCCTCCAGCATTCCCCGCTGGGAGAGGTCCTGGTACAGACACTCTTGAGTTGAGGGAACCTCAGAAGCGGGCCTCAAGGCATCATGGGATGGTGCCCGCCTGACAGGGGTGGGAGAAGTGGACACCAGCTCACCCCGGGAGCGAGGGTACGAGCCAGAGGAGAAGCGCCTCAGAGAGCTACTGGAATTCCTGCCACAGGCATGGCCACCTGGAGGGGAGGGACCACATCTGGGGTGAATACAAATACATAAAAAAAATATATAGTAACAAAGAGTTTTTAACACTGCCCATCAGTGGTCCTGTCAGGCAGCCATTTTGGCTCCATTTCCTGTGAGGCCTGCTGTCTCCCTCTAGGAACCACGGTGTCGGCGGTAGAGCCACCAGCTCGCTCTCTTTTGGGGCCACGTGCTGGACAGGTTCAGGCTGGAGCATGCATACAATGATGTCACGGGGCTGTCCAGGTACGCGGCCCCATACGGTACACGAGCTGAGTGTAGCTGCTTGGAGATGGGTGCACAAAGTGCACTATGCCGGAGTGCCTTACATGGATGTGTCTGGAGAGTAGCCGGCCCGACTAGAGTGCTGCTGCGAGAAAAGCTGCCGACCAACGTCTATCGTGCCACACACTGGTGAGGCCCAAGACAGCCACAGAGGACTAAGCAGCCCAGCTCCTTAAAGCCAAGAGCAATAAGAACTCACCAGACAACAACATTACAAAGGCTTAGGTTACCCCCATAGTGTGCTAAGCTACAGAAGCAGCCAATCACAAAGCGGTTCTGCTGCAACAATCCTGTAATCTCATACAATGCAGCTCAGAGTCACTGCCGTGATGCCAGCGGTCAGCACGCCTGCAGTGAGGTGTCCCATTTGCTGCTTTACCTGCATCTCGGTCAGAAGGACTGGCAGACTCCAGGAAACAGGGGTCCAAATCCACATTTCCAGTCCTGGGTGGAACTCTGACTGGCTCCTTCCTTCCAGTGATACGGGGCAGGTGACAATCTGGGATGAGGAAAGGGGCAGCTTGCTTATTTACAGATATAGTCCACTGCAATACGACATAGACTATCCCAGATGCTGACATTATCCCCCTTAAAAGCATAGTATCTTTTAATCCAGGCATAACATACATAACGGGGCAGAAAAAAAAAAAAACACTTTGAATTGGGGGTGGGGATAGTTCTCACCGGGCTCGCAGACATAGGACTCTTGTCCATACTCCAGGGCAGGGGGTGGGCAGCCCTTGCTTAAGACCTGAAACTGGGAAACAGTTATTACAGCTATGAGGCTCCTGCACAGCACAAAGCAAAGCGAACAGTGGAAGGCAGGAGAATTAAAATGAACACATGGCTATCCAATACAGAGAGGAGGCTTTCCAGCCCCTCAGAGTGTGTAAATAGGCGGCTAAAACCCTCTAAATTACTGCCAGGAACCGCATCCGCTGCCTGCCCAATGAAGTAAACAACGAGAGAGGCATCCCTGCTCAAGAGACCCCCACTCGAATCACAGAGAGAGCGGTACATGCCTGTAATCTCGCTGGGCAGCGGGTGAATTATTCATGACGGATAACAATTGCGGGCTGCAGAGACAGACGATCTATCAGCCAAACAAATCGAGACGAGCGATTGTACGGAGGGATGGGAGCAGCTCAGCGGCCCGTTAGCCAGTGCTCAACGGCACTCGCAGGCTCCTATTTCCGACTGGATGAAAGGCTTCCAGCTTTGATAAGCCAGCAAAGCCTGAAGCTTTGATGCAAGGCGTAGTTCGGTGGGGTTATTTACCTGCAGTTCTGTACATTTCTCGGGGACTGAACATGGAACTAATGGTGCACCAATGTGTACAGATTAATGGAAGTGAAATGTTACTTCTTAAGATCCGGCGAATGTGTGTAGCAACCAATTCATATTACACAGGCAGAAGGACATCAGCAAGGTAACGTTATCTAGACTATAATGAGGTTCTAAGTGGTGAATGTGCTTGCAAAACCCCTCGTTCACCACAATGATAACTCGCCCAATGCAATCACCTCCATTATTTTCGTAGTTACATCTTTAGCTCTGGTCCTGGTAACTTTCAATACTGACTAAATACCAGGCAGCAATATCAGCCAAGACTGGCACATTGGACCGATGCTGATGTCTTGATTTTAACAAACACCAGCCGATACCGAAGTTACCCGATATACGAGTGTATTGTGCATCTCTAGATGAAACCCAGGAGGGTGTTAGATGTCTTATCCACGCTGGACTAGCGGCTCCGACCCGGTGCTGCCACTCTCCATTCAGAGCCACACCGGAGGAACGCGATCCGCGCTCGAGGCAGCGTAGCATCATGTGTAACCAGAGACACAGTGAGGGGAGCTTGCACGAGGTCCCCATGCTGTTCCATGCCTATGCTCTCTTATCCTGAAATTGTGATTGTCGCACAAACAATGGAGGACAGAGAGAAGGCAGAGCATTATTCAGAACAGGGGATCGGATCAAAGGGACCGTGTAAGCCATCATATGGACAGGTCAGTTACACACAAGTGTGTTTGAATATTAGGGACAAGAGCACTCTCAGCCTCACCAGTACCATACTGTATGCACACTACATATACAGTACTGCTCATTATACTGGTATTACACATATTTACTGCGGGAGGGTTCTGTACAGACTGGACTATTTCCGTTTGTTTATGTGGCAAGGAACAGGTATGTACTGTACAAGTTTTCCCCGTGGACTGGAAGCACTGGCGGCTTCCTTAATTAATGCTGCGATGAGGAATGACTGGCTTGCAGGCGTTGGGAGATTGTTTGAGAACACGCTGGTATTTCTGTCCCATCCATTTGAGATTACAGAGCCATTAGCGGACTGATCTGGGGTGAGTTTCCCGAACTGTTATTAACGCTACGTCGTTCTTAAGTTCTGTGTTAAAAGATAGAACTAACGAACGACGTAGCGTTAAGAAGGCTTCGGGAAACTCACCCCTGTGCAGTAAATATAAGCCCCACCCCCCAAAACCTAAGCACAGTGTCTCTGAGCCTCAAGTAAATTTTTAAGCCGAATTAACAAGCATTAAAAATGAGTGGGAAAATGATTTAGAGGCTATAGGTTTACTGGCCTCCAGTTGCTAAACCTGGAGAGGGAGGCATATACCAAACAAAGAGCAGCTCCACCCCCAGATTCCCGTCATAGCTACCTGACTGCGATCCGCTACAAGCAAAGTCTGAGGTCACCTGGTCCTCTTCTCCTCTAAAACATCAGCACAGTCGCATAGCAACCAGCAAGAGCTTCACAATTCATCAGTTCTAAGCTAACGGATGCCTGTCCCAAGCGCTTCAGACATGCATGTCATTGGAGGTATGTGACATACAATAAGACATGTCCACCTGTCGATTGAATAAGTGCTTCGGGCATCGTTATCACCCATAAACTACAGCTGCTGCAACCTCCTTAGTCACTGCAGAGCACCTCACAGTAACGCGAAATATGTTCCCATGGACAGGTTTCCCGGAAACCGCACCAAAGGTCAAAAACTTGGCTCTACGTGACCAAGTCGTGGAACTGTTCAAGCGAGCCGAAAGACCCCCAGGATGATATCATGGTTCTTCCAGAAAAATCAAATCTCACCTCCGCATTACAGCAGAGGCTCAGGGATGAGTCACCGCGCCTGGACTCTCCGCAATCAGAGAAGCTCCTTGAGTGCAGAACGAGGCAGGCCAATCAGACAGAACCATGGTACTCATCCATCAGGTCAGCGTCACAATAACAGCCACCATCTATCCATCTATTGCCCCGAGCCCCATCAGCCATCGAAAGCCCCTCAATGTCAGCAAGCAAAGTGTCATCAAAAATAAATGTTACAGTGGGACAAAAGTAGACAACGTTACTTCATGGGCATGAATCTAGGCCTGGACATGTAGTTGAATTTTAGTAGTAGAATGAAGAGAGACTGGTTGTCTTACAAGATTAAGTTTCGCTTTAGCCCTCATTCATGCTTTGCAAGATGCCCTGGGAGACCTCTGAGGCTGACCTCTGTCCTCCAGCTCTCTCCATGAATACTGCAAGCTGACTAACCACACTGGAGCCATTTAGCCAGGCTCAAAATAGCATGTTATTCACAGGTTAACAGGTGTTAGCTGGTAAATACCAAACAGCCTACATTTCACAGCGGTTTAAAAAAAAACAACACTTATGTTGAGAAGGAATATAATTATCTCTTACAAGCGCATGTTTTACACCTGCTATTCAGTTCTTCTGCATATACTGAAACAGACAATCACTTTGCTATTGATACATAGCTAACCCCTATGATCTTTTTTATTAAGTCAGGAGTAACAGCATGGACAGACTAAATCTAAAATGGAGGCTCACCTGGGCAGATGATTTGCTGTTGAAGTCTTTGCCGGTCAGGGGCTTCATGGTGGCGGGGAGGCCCATCCGTTCCCACGGGAACCTGTTCTTTCCTTTGCCAGCACTAACGATCCTCCTGTGCTGGGGGAAGACTTCGGTGAGACCCCCCAGGGTCCCATCGCATGGCCTGTCGGGCTCTGGCTCCGTCTGGTGGCTTCTGCCGCTGCTGACACGACAGCCGTCCATCACCCAGTCCAGGTCAGCTCCGGAGCTGAACTGTGGCGAACTGCGCTGGCCAGGCCTCGGGACGACCAGGGCATACTCCACCATGCCATCCAGCGACAGACGGGGAAGAATGTGCCGGGCTCTGCGAGTTTGAATGGCTGTCGCCAGGCCCTCCGCATCCCCGTTGAGCTCCACTCGGTCAATCGCTCTTAACAGAGGCTGCTTCTTCCCATTATCCAGACAGTAGTCGAAGACAGCAAATAGTTCCAGGGCCGCGTGGCGGACTTTCTTCTTGGTGTCCGCCAGACAGGGTGCAACTTCATAGCAGAGGCTGGGGATGTTGAAGTCTTTCCTAGGGTGGGTTAGCATTCCAGCTATGATGATGTTAATGACGTCCTCCCTCACCCTGGAGTTCTTATGCTTCAATTGTCCAATTACCAGGTCCAGGACCTTCTGTGGTCCTACGATCCTCATTAGCTGCCTGAAAATACTCATGTACTCAATCCTGGCGATGACGCATGTGTCACCCAAGATCCTGAGAGCTGCACATACTATCTGTTTTAGATATTTATCTACATTTAAGGCCAGTTTTTCAATTAGCAGATTCATCACCTGTAAAGTGCCATAAAAGACCTTGAAGTTGGTGTCATCCAGCATTCTGCGGAGGAAGCTAATAAACTCCTCGATGTTGTCTGAAGACACCTGCTTCAAATCCAGATCAAGGAGAATGTTTTTCAGCTCATCCACCCCATTAATCCTGTTCTGATAATTCTTGAGGTCTAGGAGTTGTTTGTGCAGCTCCTGGGGTACAATTTCAAACATCATCATGGCAGACAGCTTTGGATTCTTTCTCAGAACTGGGTACTTAAGAAATTGAAAAATCCTGGACTGTGAAAATCTGATCTTCCCATTTTTTGCTTCTTCATGGTGTTCAGGGGACTGGGAAGAAGTTGGTATCCCCCACTTCAAAAACTGGTGCCAGTGATCCTCTTCAAAGTTATAGTAGACCCTCAGGAGATAGTCAGGCAACAGGTTGACAAATCCATTAAAATTTTCTGGCCCAATATTCAGCTTAATTTGGTTTAATGTAACGTAAGCCACAAAAGGATCATCAGACTCCTTGTTTCCAAGAAGTATACAACTTAGCGACGTGATCAGATCACTCAGGTTAAGATTCTGCGACTCTTCCTTCAAGAGAACAGGGTATATGTCAAAAGTCGCAGACCTTATTCCGTTTTCGCGGTGCAAGAGAGCATGCTTAGTAATTATCTGGAAAACTCTGTAAGGCTTAGCACTGAATTTCACACACTTCAGAAGAGTCTGCAGGAGAGCCTTGCGATTTTTATTATCGGCAAGGCTGACTTCATTCAGGAGAACTGGAAGCACGTCGATCCTGAAATCCTCTATACACTCTTCTGGTATAGACACCAATTCAGACACTAGTTGAACACAGGCTTTTTTTATATTTTTACGATCGTCCTTTTGAAAAATATCGGCCAAAGCCTCGAGTATATCCTTTATTTTTGGAAATAGTATCCGTCCACCATGTTTCTTCAGATGACTAAGAATCGCTCCGATTGCCGATAGCCGCTTACCTTCGGTACGATCATTTAAAGATGAGATAATTTCATCTTGCTGGACCTCCAGGCTACAAACTATCCCCTTCTTCCTTAGGGGGTTTGGGCGTAGGTCAGCAGACGGCGGAGCTGAAACTTCTTGTTCGCGTTTGTCTTGATCAGACATTAAGGCACATTTGTATGCTGTTTTTCTAAAATAGTCGACATGCCGATCTCTAGCTCAAATAACCAAGATGGCAAGCTAGCCTTCGCGGCGTCGCGTATGGGGTTTGCCAAGCAATTGCTTCGCCGATAACGCGCCACTAAAAATATATATATATATTGTACTTTTTTTACTAAAACAAAGCAATTCAAACCCGTTTTCCTTTTCCAGGCTCGTGTTATGAGACGTGGGGTGGTGTCACAGTTCAAGCGATGGGAGGTATCTGATATTTGTTAAACTTTTGCAACGAAGTTTTCTTCAGAATGTCGTGGTTGTTGTCGCTACCCAAATTAAAAGCACGCCGTTGGTAACGCCAGAGTCTCCCCATCGCTGGGTGACACGAAAATGGCGTGTGGGACTGGTCACAAACCCAGCGCTTCCATGGTGACGCGCGGTCTTCTGACCCCGGAAGTAAACAGTTTAGCCTCTTCCGTATACATACCACGGACCTGCAAGAAAATGCCACTTTTCTGTCATACTGGGAATCCGTAGTTTTCCCTTCACTGGCTTTTTTATATTTACTTTATTTCAGTTCCTGATTTAATAGTGAATTAGCGTATTGTGATGTACTACTATGAAAACTGTGCAATACGAAATAACTGTGTAATATTACGAAACACCTGCGAATACTGGGCAATAACTTGCCAAAACAATGCACATCTCTCTCTCTCTCTCTCTCTATATATATATATATATATATATATATATATATATATATATATATATATATATGATGTAAATAGTTATGACATCTGCATCTGTAAAGAAACTAATATGATGTAAAGAGGAACGTCAGATGAATGTAAGAAAATGTAATTCAATTTTTTCGATATTTTCTATTTTTGATTAATATTCATGTCTGTGGTTTATGGGAAGGGCATGTTTTTCCACGAATAAATAGTCGCACTCACTTTTGTGGATGGTTATAAATATCTAGACAATATCTTCTTTGAATGGAGTCTTCACCTTGGAAATAAGATATTTAGGAACATGATCCGGTACAGAGGAAAGGATTCGAGGATTAATGGATAGATGAATGACACTGTTTTTATAATAAATGGCCGAAATTTAATGATATTTCTCGCTCATGTAATGGATTATGGGTGTTGAAGTTTTTTTTGTTTCAAATGCAGATGGTTGGCTTAGTAACAGTCGCTCTGTCACTTGTCTGGCCTCAAAGTGAGGATAAAAGAACCACCTTGTTTGCTGGTACATGAATGGGTCATCATGTTTTTTTCTTCTCGGCCAATGCCGATGGAAGCCCGTGTGGCGCCCTAGGCAATCTTCAATGCCAAATTTCACTCAGAAGATGGTGCCCTAGGCGGCCGCCTATGTCGCTTAATTGATTGACTGGCTCCGCTCTCGACTATTATTTTTCTGTAACGTCAGGCATATATCTCGTGTGTTTGGGTTAGTCTTTAGAATTAACTTTTTAATTAAATCATTCGTATTGGTTTTGTACTATGCTTTGTTAGCATTTAATTTATTGAAGTTGGGGTAAAAAACTCTTGCTGACGTCCATGTTCCCATAGTAGCATCTGCTTGTTTAGCTTTATCCACGCCATGCTGTCTTTTTATACTGATATCCTGCCAAGGACGATGCCTTTTGTTTTAAGTCTCGTGTTTGCTTTCTTGAATTAGAAATGGGAACTTAGACAACGTGCCTATGTTGTACTGATATGGCCAGATTCAATCAAACAGTGCTGTTCTTCCTGAGGATCAGCAAAATTAACAATAGAATAATAATTGTACTATAGTATACAATATACAATATACTATATAAGCTACTAATAATCAAATTGTAGGTAACCGACGTTATTACGGCTAATATTTCCCAAATTAGTCGTGAAGCGTTTCCTTCAAAAAAATCAGGTGCCTTACAGAAGAAAGGAGGAAAGATGTAAGTACATAAGATCTAATAGAGTGTTGATTAGGTGTTTGGTTTTGTTCTATGTAATATTAAAGAGCAGACAGCCATGCTCACTTAGAGTGAGAGAAAATATCGGCCCAGATCTGTACCAGTCAGTGGTGTAATAGATTATACATGAAATCATCCTTAAGCAATACTGTTTGCGAAGGCACTATGTGAAATATATCTATTTAAATTGATCCCAGTGTTGCAAGGTGTATCACTAGGTGTTGCTGTCCCCCAGCATCTCTGTGGTTGGAGGGTAAAAGTCTGCCACAGTATTCTCTCATTTCATTTCACGGCCCAAAAAATACTTTTGAGGTTCATTTGTAATTTACTGTCCTTCATGCCCAATATGTGTTCCCCGTAAGTGAGTGCCAAAAAGACATCAGCACTCAGCAGACATATTTACCAGGTAAATTCAATATAGGAGGATAGTCCTAGTCACAAGCACACCATTTTCATGGCTGCCTATATTGTTATTCTAACAAGGAGTTTGCTATTTTACATGACTGAAATAACTACAAGTCGCAAGCCAGCGATATGTATTAACTTTGCTTCTCCTGTGTGGTGCTGGAGACAGTATGTCTGTATTTGTTCTAGTATCATTGAACCCGACTACATTTACATCATGTTTATATGTGTCTATGGGCAATGTGGCCTTTATGGGTTCCCAGAGTTCTGTAAACATACAATCTTAAGACTTATCAAGGATACATATGTGATAGAGTGTTACAAGGCCAAAAGTGGGATAGCTGAATTGTAATTTGGTATAGTTGGAATATGTTCAACGAACATCTGCAGCAAGTATTACATACAATCATATACATATTATGCCGAATGCATATCTGTTTTTTTTTTGTTTCATAATCTGACATAAAATTTTCATTCAGTTCTGATTCTAAAAAATATACATAAACACGTGTCAAATTCACAGAACCAATTTCGCATTTTAAACAGCCAAAATGACTCGTTAAATATAATCTTTATTTTGGGGTATCCCCAAAAATAGCAACGTCACAGTGACAACCAATGAAAGACCCGGAAAGTTGGTGGTTCTTGGGATATTCATCTAAAGGCGAGTTGCATCTCAAGCCTGGCACAACCAGGGCAGCGGAAGAACAGGAAGAAAGGGAAAGGAGGAGGAGGACGCTGCGCGACGCATAGAGGAAGGACTGCCTCTGATCGGACGCTTTAAACAGTGAAAAGGCGTCGCCCAGCTTAGCGAGGGTAGCATGCCCCTGCGATTCACGCTTCGCTTTTATTTCCTAACATACATTTCACCTTTAATCGAGCCCCGGTCCCGGAAGTTACGCAGGTCCGACCCGTTTTTTCGTGTTTGTTTTCTTGACAGACGCCCAGGGTTCTTGCTGCTGGGATTGTCTCTGGAACTGCAATAAAAATAAGAATAGTAATAATAATAACAATTACAACAACAACACTAATAATATACAGAAGAAGGGCAGACGATCTCATCGGTGCAGCACGATCGAAAAGCACAGGTATGTTTATCCCGCATCCCTGTCGCAGCTGTCTGGCGCTGATCCGCGGAGGCTAGGAACAGTGAAAGGCTGACCGAACAGTCCAGAGAGAAAATCTAAATGATCTAAATTAACTTCGCATCGGCTGATATTTATTTATGTTCCTTGGCGCGTATTTATCTTTGGTAACGAAATTGGTCGAGGTTCGTCTTTGAATAGAAATGGTGCAGCCGCTACTTGGCCGTCTCCCTACTTAACGAGGCCCGTCTATGCCCATATATAACGGCAGTAATAGAGCCAGTGCACCTCTGCTTGTTGCTCTTGTATGATTACAGCTGGGTGCTTTATAATATTTGAAATAGAGGCATTGGGTACCGTCGTTGAAAGCATTTGGGCGTGGGGGGGTCTTTAGTCCGTGGATGGAAAAGCCGATGTTCAAGGGGCAGTCACTATGCAGGCGCTGTCATTTATGTTAATCAGCTTTTGACACTTTTATACTTGAAGCTGAGAGTTTGGCTGTTACCTTAGACAGGCTTGCAAATTCACCAGCTTCCAGCTGAAGGCGAAAAATACCACATTGTCTGGATTTTACCTACAAACGAAACCCGTTCAGCTCCCTTCCTGCTGTTTAAACACTGGAAGCACCGTTGTTGTTGAAATGCATCAATCAAATTAACGATGGTTTTTGCCTGTCTCAATACTCAAATACTCAAAGCTCATACTGGGTTTTATCTGTATTACCTGCAAGGTTTGCGTACTTTTACCTTTTGTTTTGTTATGTTCCAGTCTTATGGTTTACAACATGGAGCACGTCTGCTTCTTGGTGCGTTTCCTCGTCGACTTTGTTAAAACCCTGTCTATGATTTATTACATTGTTATTTTTAAAACGCGAAACCATTGAAATGGAAACTTCATTGCAACAGAGTTTGATTTTCTCAATTGTGTGACTGAGTTGAAAGTTATTTAACTCTACTTGTTTACTGACACACCCAGGTATAAACGTCGCGGCATAAACTAGACCAGTTTAATAGCTGGATATAAAGAATCGAGAAATGGGTTGGTTTTTTTTTTTGGGGGGGGGGGGGGGGGGTGTTATAATTGTAAGTTTAGTCATTAGGAAACTCCACAGCTTTGCTTGGGGAATACATGAAAAGAGTAGGGAAGTTATAAGGTGTTTTTAAGCTGCCAGCGAGAGAAAGTTGTTGCTATTTTTCTTAAAGTAAGATATATCAGGAGATGTAATTTTTAAAAGTGGCAAAAGATGGTGCGTAAATCTGGAACAACATCACCAAAGGCTTATTGTTGTCCAAAAGCAACATTTTATTAGTATACAATGGGTATTTTTGATATGTTACTAAGACAGCTTGGTCCACTTAGACATGTACGTTTCTTTTATGATCTGGCCAGTCTGAAAGTGACTCCAAGATGTTTGAGTTGCATTAGCTCATGATGTTACTTACTAATTTAATTTACGCACGAATTTAACTTCATGGCTTTGTGTATGTGCATGCTGTAATGACTGCTTTAAAAAACATTAATGTATTACATAGAACTACTTTACGTACATGGAAGTAAAGTGAATTATCAAATAAAAACAATCCATCCATGTTCTTGCCACTTTTTCTCGTCTGGGTTGTGGGGTAGGGGGGGGGGGGGGTGTAGAACCAGTTCCAGGCAGCTGAGGGCACAGTGTTGTGTGACACCATGGACCACATGCCAGTTTGTTGCTGGGTGCGTACACACTCACACTTATAATGATGTCCTATGGGCAAAGTAGAGATGCCAGTTGGTGTAACTGCCTGGCTTTAGACTGCAAGAGGAAACCTAGGGGAAGAATACATACTTATGGAGAGGAGGCAGGATTCAGACCGACATCCCGGATGCAAAAGGCATCAGTTCTATTCACTGAGTCACCTATAAAACGACAATGAACGAATCAATAACCCAGTATGAAAATAATTTGGAAGCAGTGGTTTTGTCAGGACTGGAGGAATGAATTTGAAATTAACTTAAATTGAACACAGACTCTTTCGCTGAGTTGTTAAACTACCTTACGTTGGTAGAAGCGTTGGGAGCAGCTGACGAGTGTGTATAATCTCGAGGCAGTGCCTGACACACTGAGCCGATCTCACACCAATTTGTGAGTATGGTGCACCTTCCATGCTGCCATTTTTGGAAATGTCAGCGGTCATCTTAGTATTACAACATTTGTCAGTGTGGTTTGGCGCCCCATCCTGGGTTGTTCCCTGTCTTGCACCTGTAGTTTTTGGGATAGGCTCCAAACCCATGCAACCCTGAATAGGACAGATAGGTGCAGAAGATGGATGGATGGATGGATGTCAGTGTAGTGCCCTTTGGAGTTGCTGGTTTACTTCACTAATAAAACAGCTTTTGTGTTTGTGGTTTGTGCTGATGAAGGTAGCTGCTTCCCTGTTCCCGCACAGATGGACCAGCATGCCCAGCCGTACATGCTTGCCAGCCTGACGCGTCCACACTCCGAGCAGCTTCTGCAGGGTCTCCAGCTGCTACGGCAGGACCGCGAGCTGTGTGACGTGGTGCTGCGCGTGGGCGACGCCAAGATCCACGCCCACAAGGTGGTGCTGGCCAGCATCAGCCCCTATTTCAAGGCCATGTTCACGGGGAACTTATCGGAGAAGGAGAACTCTGAAGTGGAGTTCCAGTGCATCGACGAAGCTGCTCTTCAGGTGTGGAACAGCGGTCACTGTAGACCATTACTCTGTCCCTGTGTCTATGTGTGTGTGTGTGGCTCTTTCTCTCTGTCTTTGTGTGTCTGTATGTATTTGCAGCCATGATCTGTTTGGTATGCATCTGCCGAGATGCATGTCACAATTGTAATGCATTACTTATGCAGAGAAATGTACGGTCTTCCAGACTGTAAACATAATTGCTTCACCTGATATATGATATCATCTAATTAGTTATATGACCACAACATTGTTCTAGTCACTACGGTGACTTGCATGCGTGATGTGCATTATCCATCTAACAATCCAAGCAAGTAATTCTGTCCACTGTTCTGAGATCCAGTTTGATTCAGTTAGGGGGGGGGGGGGGAGAGGATTACCGATGAGCTGTCTGAATGGTGTTTCCAGTCCATTTGTAATTTGAGCATTTCATCGTTCTCTCGGGGTTGTGTTCACGTGTCCCTCCTCCCCCCGCAGGCCATCGTGGAGTACGCCTATACCGGCACAGTGTACATCTCCCAGGACACAGTGGAGTCCCTACTCCCGGCCGCCAACCTGCTTCAGGTGAAGCTGGTGCTGAAGGAGTGCTGCGCCTTTCTGGAAAGCCAGCTGGACGCTGGCAACTGCATTGGCATCTCCCGGTTCGCCGAGACCTACGGCTGCCACGACCTCTGCCTGGCCGCCACCAAATTCATCTGCCAGAACTTCGAGGAGGTGTGTCAGACGGAGGAGTTTTTCGAGCTGACGCGCTCCGAGCTGGACGAGATCGTCTCCAACGACTGCCTGAAGGTGGTCACCGAGGAGACCGTCTTCTACGCCCTGGAGTCCTGGATCAAGTACGACGTGACGGAGCGGCAGCAGCACCTGGCCCAGCTGCTGCACTGCGTCCGGCTGCCTCTGCTCAGTGTCAAGTTCCTCACCCGTCTCTACGAGGCCAACCATCTGATCCGCGATGACCACGCCTGCAAGCACCTCCTCAACGAGGCCCTTAAGTACCACTTCATGCCTGAGCACCGGCTCTCCTACCAGACGGTGCTGTCCACCCGGCCAAGGTGTGCTCCCAAAGTGCTCCTCGCCGTGGGAGGCAAGGCTGGCCTCTTTGCCACCCTGGAGAGGTAATGGTGCAATCCTAGGTTTGGGGTTTCCATCAGAACCTGACCTCCCAGAGTTCCTACTTTGGCTGGTGGTATACGTTTATGTCGCCCCCTAGAGGGTAGCTTTTACATGTGTCCTCAGGTTCATCATTAGTCTCATTGCCTATTTAAATTAATCTTCATAACCTTGAGTTAGCAAAGGATAGATTGGGAGCATAATAATACTAACCTTGTATGTCAAAGTTTTGTTTTTCTTGTAGCTTCTTTTTGTTTGTGATGGCTTGACCTTTGCGCTCAAAGTATTTTAACTTGAGTTCATTCGTAAACATCTAGGGCTTGGTGCTTTCTTCCACATTATATTGATTTATTGTATCTCTGTTGTGGGGGTGGTCTCCCTGTAACCACCCCCCATCACCACCCCAAGCCAGCCTCCCAAGTTGTCTGCTTTACACACCATGCAGAGTCTCTCCTGTAGAAAGAAACCATGGAGGGATGCTTGAGAGGTTTTACTGGTTCATTGAAGCCCTTGGCAGAGGCCCCCCGGTGGTCAGTGGCAGCAAAATTTCTAAAGTTAAAGGCTCCCTTTTGCCAAAGTAGGTTTAAGCTGAGTTTCTATTTGGCTGGTGTGTGGGGCCTGAGCTGTGAGGCCTCCCTGGAGCTTATTCCCGCATTAGGGCGCCTTTCAGCCAAATAAGGAGCCTCACAGTTTCACTCTATAGCCAGACAAAGAGTGTCTCCCCTTGTGCAGCCAGATCTGATTTGCATGTTCAAAAGTGACTCTGCTTGTTTGGGTGCATAAGCAGGAGCTGTTTGCGACTGCATATAACCTCCATTCACTGGGCTCTTTGTGTCCGTCTCGGCCACAGAAGGGGCTGCCAGTAATAAATCAGTAACGGTGTCCAAAATTTTCCCATTCAAAGTGGGCTGAAAGGCAGCTTGACCCGTAGGGACAGGGACCTTCTGTTGACCTCTTTGTTTCTTCACCTCGTGTGTTTGCGTGGACTGCAGGCTTGGCGCCAGAAAGCGAGCGGCAGAAACCGGCCCGGCAGCTCGGATGGCCTCCAGGCAGCAGATTCACCGCATGTGGATCTGCAGCAGCTTAGTTTGGGGGCAACCTTGGGTCACCTGTCGTTTATTTAAGCAAAAAATTAGCCCGGAGGTTGATGTCACCTTCGTAGGGAAAATTACGGCTGCGTTAATGCATCCTTAAGACTGTAACTGACTGATCACTTATTGTCTAAAAAATCCCAGGTATTTCCTGTTTACTTGGTTGATTGTTTGCTTGTTGGTATCTGAGACACAAAGTATGCAGAAATAGAGGAAAGCATTCTTTTGATCATTACAGGGATCCTGACTCTTTTATCCTCTGTCATGTGTCCAAAAGGACATAAAAGGTCTGAAATTTAAAGCACGGTTGGTTCTTTTCATGCTCGGGGACTCGGAGGCAGGTTAAGCTGTGCTGTGCCTTTGGGCCGCTCATCAGAAAGGGCTCTTTAAGGACGCCGACCCTCTCTCTCTCTCTCCGCAGCATGGAGATGTACTTCCCTCAGACCGACTCGTGGATCGGCCTGGCGCCGCTCAGCGTGCCCCGCTACGAGTTCGGCGTGGCTGTACTGGACCAAAAAGTGTACGTGGTGGGTGGCATCGCCACGCACATGCAGCAGGGCATCAGTTTCCGGCGGCACGAGAGCACAGCCGAGTGCTGGGATCCCGACAGCAACACCTGGTCACCGGTGGAGCGCATGGCGGAGTGCCGCAGCACGCTGGGTGTGGCCGTGCTGGCCGGCGAGCTCTACGCCCTGGGCGGCTACGACGGCCAGTACTACCTGCAGTCGGTGGAGAAGTATGTTCCCAAGATGAAGGAGTGGCAGCCGGTGGCACCCATGACCAAGTCGCGCAGCTGCTTTGCTGCCGCCGTGCTGGACGGCATGGTGTACGCCATCGGCGGCTATGGCCCCGCCCACATGAACAGGTGAGCCGGGGAGTAGGCGTGGCATCCTACCTTTAATAAAAAAAAAAGTGGGTCATGTCTCCCGTCCCCCGTCCCCAATCCCACATGTCCCCTCCAGACACCCTGGGGGGGGGGGGGGGGATCAAACGGGCCAGCAGGTGGCGCCACGTGGCCTTTCCCAGGCTTCAAACGGTGCTGCCAGCAGGACGGGAGACACATCACACCCGGCCACATCATTTAGCCCCCCTTTGTTGTTTGCCTTTGTGGCCCCGCGGACAGAAAAAGCGGTTATTTATAGGGTCCTCACAGACATCTAAGGCTCCGTCTGTCTGATCCATTCATATCAACTCAGGCAGCTCCCCATTCTGTCCCGACTGGATGTACTGAGACACTCTGGCATCCCATAAGCACGTTTAGCCTTTCCTGGGCAGTGTTCTGTCACATGGGGTCTTGCAGAGTTGTAGGTGAAGTCCGGCTGCGCTGAGTGGCTCCCCCAGGATGTGGGCTTGGGTATCAGCGGATGGTCTCTGTTGTCGTTACTCGCCCGGCAGAGTTATCGTCTCCTAGACTCCCACGATCCCCCAGACTCCCCATCCAAACACCCGGCCTCCTGGGGACAGTTGTTTTTGTTCCCTGATCTGTGGGAGCTGTAAGAAGGACAAATGGATGGCTGTGTGTGCTGGTCCAGCACGTCTCATCTTTCTACTAGAGGCTCATGGGACAGCAGGACCTGTCAGCTTTAAAACACCAGGAACTGTAGCAGTACAAAAGGGGAGATTGTACGCTTTATAAACTGTAAAAAAAAAAAAAAAAGTAGTGGTTTATATAAATGGTCGATACCATGTTCGGTGTCCTTACACCAGCTCACTGAAATCTTTCCTCTCTCACAGTGTGGAGAGGTACGACCCCAGCAAAGACTCCTGGGAGATGGTGGCACCCATGGCGGACAAGAGAATCAACTTTGGGGTGGGCGTCATGCTAGGATTTATATTTGTGGTGGGTGGACACAACGGGGTCTCTCACCTGTCCAGCATTGAGAGGTACGACCCCCACCAAAACCAGTGGACGGCATGCCGACCAATGAACGAACCACGGACTGGTGAGTGTTACAGGAGGGGCTCTGGAGCAGGGACCAAGTATTATGATATTTTATAGCTATCATCATCATCGTAATTATCAGTCTTACGTGCAGATTACACGCATGGTGATATTTCGTGTACAGTATCTGATTCATAAGAAGTTTTTGACGTTTGTGTTTTCATTTTAGTTGCTGTGAAATGTCACTGAAACCTGGACAATTGTAGCTCCCTAGGATGTGAAAATAGACACAGCTTATTCACCCACTGCATTTGTCTCCACTGCAGGAGTGGGATCTGCAATCGTCGATAACTTCCTGTATGTGGTGGGCGGTCACTCGGGCTCGTCGTACCTGAACACGGTCCAGCGCTACAACCCCATCGCGGACAGCTGGCTGGACTCCAGCGGCATGAAGTACTGTCGCTGTAACTTTGGCCTCACCGCCCTTTGACCTCGGTGCAGCTGCTGAGGACTCCATAAGGGAAGGCAGGCACATGAGTTCCACTTTTTTTTCTGTTCATTATAATTTTTCCTCCTTCCTGTGTGTTTTCACGGGACTGAAGAGGCACAGAAGCCTAGGGGAGTGTGCCCTGTCTGAATGGGCCCGGGCCCGGCCCCAGAACCGTGGGTGGGGCTGCAGGATGGGAGGTGGCCCCCGACGTCAAGGTCCAGGTGGCAGGAGTGAGAACCCCACCGGGATGAGGGCTCTCACGGTCGCCCTGTGACCTGTCGGAGAACGGTGGGATGCTTCTGTCCCGCTTTCGAAGCGCTCTCGTTTCATCAGGATGTTACGTTTGGTGGTTTGCCAGTACCAGTGGTGCCCACTGCATCCGTGCCACGCAAACTGCGAGCGTGAGGAGCTGTTAACCACTGTCGCTTTGCCTGCTGGATTTATTTTTTTATTATTATTAATACGCAGTTTTTACTTTGTTTCCCTGCTATAAGCAGATATTCCAGTTCTTGATTAATTCTGTGTGTATGTAACAGATTGTGAGACTGTGTGTGTGTGTGTGTGTGTGTGTGTGAGAGCGAGAGACAGAGAGTTTGTGATTGTGTGACATACTCAGGCAAGTTTAGTAAGTCACACACTGTTGGCATCTGTGAACCAGTGCTTCACGAAAAAGTACAAAAAATCTATTTCTATTCACTTTAAAGGGCTGCCTTTTCTCTCTTGTAAATATTTGAAACAAAGAATATATATATATATCCTCTAGTGCATTGCCTGTAAATGTTTTCTGCACTGGGTTACTAGTTAGGGTATGTTTATGTGTGTGTGTCTGAGAGGGTGGTGTTACAGAGGAGACTGTGTGACCATGTGATCTCAGCTCTTCAGGGAGTGGAGTCACACTTTGCTGACCTTTCAACCAGGCAAGGAATTTCAAGTTTGTAGCCTCCCAGATGGCCAGTGATTGATGAGTGGTGTGGCATGGGTTTAACATGTTTTTTTTTTTTGCCTCAGAAACGTTGTGGGGGTGGGGGGTGGGTTTAAACACAATACTCTTATCTGGTGCTACTCAAGGATTCAGGATCAAGCTGTCAATGATGTCTTTATGGTTGTGTGATGCCTCACTCTGCATGAGTTACCTTCACTTATCTGTGCCCTCCTTTATTTTCCTTTCCGATGTGTATATACTTTTGTGTGTTTAAAAGGAGAAAAGCATGAGCAAGCCTGGCCCAGCAATAAAATTCTGTACTGAGCTGTGAGGTGAAAGTCAGTGCCAGAAAAGCAGCAGACCTGCAGATTGGGCAGACTCTCCAGGCAAATATTTTGAACAGCACAGTTGTTGGAACTAATCAGCCCCGTAATTAAGCCAATAAGGGTCGCCCCCCCCCCCCCCCCCCCCCCCCCCCCCCCCCCCCCCCCCCCCCCC